CACATAGCTATTGAAAATGGCCCAGTCGAAATAGTTGATAAAACCAATTGAAGATGGTGGATCTTTCCATAGTTATGTAAACGTTTACCAGGCCGGGTAGGTTTATCAACCAACGAGGATTAGTTTGAATCTGCCCAAATATTGTGATTGGGTACTGGATGTCCATTTCATTGCCATTGTGAAAAAAAAGCACCTTTAAAGGGCGCCTGGAGGGCCTTTGGAAAGTGAGAACCAAAAAAAGGGCAACTGAGAAATTTGGCGATTTGACCATTCAAACTCTGGACTTTGACATGGTGAGTTGGAATATATATATATATACATACAGTATATACTTAGGGGTGCAGTTCCAGTAAGACGTGTGTTTCATAACCATAGCTGGTTGGTGGCTTGGAACATTTGATTATTTTTCCATTTATTGGGAATGTCATCATCCCAACTGACGAACTCATATTTTTCAGAAAGGGTAGGGCTCAACCACCAACCAGCATAGTTGTATGTAGAGAGAGGTTAGATCCAAACTTATGGACTTTACTACCATAGTTACACCCATTTCTTTGTTTCATCCCTGGCCTGCACCCACAGAAGCTGTCAAGGGAAATGTTTTGTTGATGACGATGATTTTATATACATTGTGTTAATATGTGCCTATTGTAGAATATATACTTATAGTGCTAATATATATATATACATATTATATATTATATATAATATGAATATATATATATATATATATATATATATATATTTGCATGCTGTGGTAGTATTAGGAATTAATTTGAATAGAATATTCTAGATACGTATACAGTACTGCAAAATATGCATTAACTATCACATAATTCGTATATAATATCAAAATCCACATATGTATTTTTGTGCAGTGTGTCATTTAGATCCGTGCCAATTATTGTATGTGTGTGTGTGTGGAAGTATTTAAATATATGTTTCCATATGTGTGTGCACAATCATATACATGTAAATATATGCATATTATAATTGTGTATCTGCCAATGTGCAATTATATATGTATGTATGTAATTATAATATACCTATGTACATGCAAAAGTACACGCGTAATCATGTATCCAAATGTAATCATACATATATATATATATGTATATATATATATGTGTGTGTGCGTTAGCATATGTATATATACATTTATTTATATATACACATATGTGTATGTGCTAGCACTTGTACATGTAGTAATCACACGTGTGTATATATATATGTGGTTATTTATACATGTGATAGTATGTGTATATATGATGATTGATGCATACGTCTATGATACTGTATGTATATATAACACACTTGTATCCTTGTTTCATCAACGATCATGAGAAGTTTTAGGCCGCTGAGGTGAGAAGAGAAGAGTTTGTCGGACACAAACACCACCATGGACGCTTGGAAATGTCGAGTTGACGGAGTTTCTGTGACCCTGGATGTTACTCTGGGTGAAATGAACTGGATTCATGTTTAAATTGGGATTGAAACCCTAAAACTATGGTTATCCAGTACATCTGGATGATTCCCATAAGCTTGACGACATGCCTGACTCAATGCTGAGATCCCATGGCTTTCGGCGCTCTTTGAACCAAGGAATTGTGTGTTTGTTTGCGGCTGCCTTCCTGATTTTTTGGTGTGCAAGAGGTGCAAAAGAAAGGGTGGCGGGGCCCCATTTGGGATAGGTTTCTGTTGCTTTCGTTCGCGTTTGGCGCTGTTGGATTTATGATTCATACACTGAACTAGTTGGATGAGGTAACAGAAGCCAACAAACAAAACTGCTGGGTCCCTTTTTCTTGAAAAGAATCTAGTGATGTCAGCACAAATGCGTTTCTGTGAGGATCCCCGATGTGGGCACCAATTTGCGCCAAGCGTTGGTATAGATGGCCCATAGAAATAGATGGTTTTCCTATAAAAAATGGCGATTTTCTATAGCTATGTTAAATTACCAGAGGGTAGATATTAATTGATGTTGACCTTTGCATACTAACTGATCAATTGATATTTTGATTGACCAAGCATATTTGGAATAATGATCCCAATCGACGACAGGCGCGTATTTTCTGGATGGGTTGAAACTACCAGAAGACAATGTTATTCTCACGGTGTGAATCTCAGTTTGGAGGTTCCTACTGCAAGTGTTTTCTTTCCTGAAAAGATGGTACCCCCTGGTAAATCAACATAGCTACGGAAAATGGCGAACGAAACTAGATGATGCACCCATCAAAAATTGTCTGGTTGGTGGTTTGGATCATTTTTCCATTTATTGGGAATAATACTCCCATTTGACTAATATGTTGTTCAGAGGGGTAGGTATACCACCAACCAGTATAAAAATCATCATTTATCAATCATCATTAACCATCATTAACCATGGCACCACATATATTAGATGGTGCACCCATATTAACTATAGATGGTATCCCTACATTTCACCGGTGCTGATAGCATGGTTCCACTGCTGGTTCCACTGCTTAACATGGCCATTCCCGGGGGAAAAAACCATGTTCAGACAAAGCATGTTTTACCAGTACAAACAGCATGTCGGCGGGGACCATATATATATATTCTAATTATATATAATTATATATAATATAAATTTATATATATTATATATATAATTATATATATTATATAAGTTTTATATATATATATATTATTATTATTATATATATTATTATATATATATTATTATATATATATATTATATATAATAATATATATATATATATTCTTATATATTTATTATTTATATATTATATATATATATATTACTATATATATATTATATTATATATATATATATATTATTATATATATATTATTATATATATATATAGTCATATATATAATATGTATATCCATAGTTTTCCCCCAATTCCTCCAACTTCGAAGTCACGAATCTGAATGTGTGCCAGGTGCCAAATGGCTATGGAATGAAGAAGTGAACCACCATGAATTGATGTATCCAATCTGCGTTTCGCCGCCCAGCGGCTGGGAAATCACGATGTTTCAATAGGAAACGTAGCCAAACAAACGAGTAAAACATGGAAGATACAGGATGGTGCCCCCCCAGTTATAAGTTGGTTTATAAACCCCATTAACTATAGTTATATCTACCATAAACCATAGTTATGGGAGTTATAAACCAACTTAGCTAACTATGGGGCACCACCTTGTATGTCATGTGTTTTTTTGATGGATGTGTCATGGATGTGTCATGTTAGTTCACCATGTTTTACTCGTTGATACATAAAATCACCATGGATTTTCAACATAACAACCTTTGGTGATGTGATGTGTCATGGATGAGTCAACTGTGTCAATTTTGGCTAGTTTTGATCCCTCAGATTTTTGTTGTCAACGGTGAGATAATTGCGATTCCCAATAGCCTCTGAACAGTTAGATGATTTACTGATTTACATATAAACAATGGTGATGTTCCGTACTTAACCGTTAGTTGACTGGACGGCTTTACCAATGACGCAGGATGGGGCCCCCGGAAACGAGCTCGTGTTCAGTTGCCTTACCTCCTGTTTCCGGTAAAATTGGGATGGTTTATTGCAGGATGGGGCCCCAAGATAGCGTTCAGTTGAGATATTAGTGGCTGAATTCTATGGTTTATGGTAGATATAACGAACTAGGTCATGGGGTTATAATGGTTTATAGACCAACAAACATCACTGGGGGGTGCCCATACTGTATAAATCAAAAAGACATAAACCTGGGGGACCTCAGATTTGAGTCTACTTTCAGTATGAAAACCATCCAATCATCCAATGATTTTGGTACCGAAGTTTGACAAAATAATTGGAATATCACAAAATTATCTGGGTAAATTATAACGACCTCACTGCGACCGAAGCCTGGAATCATGGTTTATTTGAGGGAAATCATCCCCAAAGGGCCTTAATTCAGATTAGTGAAATATTATAATTTACCCAAAATTATGGAATGGTAATTGTAATATATTGTAATTATTATCATTGTAGATTCCAGATGGTAATTGTTGTTTGTAAATTTGAAATCAACAAATATCAATATGGAATCTGCAACAAATGGAATATAATATCATTATATATCCATATGGAATCAACAAATATCAACCGTTGCGGTTTTGGAAGCCCATTTTCTCAAAATGGATCCCGCCAGTTTGGAAAGGGTTGGTTCGTTGTGTCTAATTGGATGTCGTTGGATTCCAATTGACGATTCCAACCAACATTATATTATATGTCATATTGGAACATATTACTGGTTGGTGGTTTGGAGCATTTTTTATTTTTCCATATATTGGGAATAATCATCCCAACTGACTAATATTTTTTCAGAGGGGTTGAAACCACCAACCAGATTATTGTGAACATATTATTGGTCATAATGACATTACTGTTGATACTGTATGATCATAATAGTAATAAATATTGTAATTAGTTTGCATTGTCATCTTATTGTGAAGATATATTACTATATTACTATTCGACCAACTGGTTATCCTAATTCATAATCAGTTGGAATTACTATTCATAGTCATTACTATAGTTACTATAACTATTACTATACTATTAGTATTACTACTCATAATCATTACTATGTGATTGTTGTAATTCTTGTCATCATTGCAGGGCGCAAGAAATTTTCGCTGGTTTCTAAGCCCAGCCGACTAGTTCGCTATGGAGCCATAGATGTCCTGGGGTCCCACTGCTTGATTACTGGAGAGCTCCTCCGGTAAAGCCAATAGGTAAATCATATTCAGTATAATTATGATACCTGACCATAGCTATAGATCATAGCCAATAGGTATTGTTAATCATACATTGTCAATCATAATCATAATCGGTATAGTAATTAGATTAACAATATATAAAAAGCCTGTCCGAGGTATGATACGTATCTATTGATCTATCCTATCAACAGCCAATAGTATACCAAAGTTTGGCCCCTCTATTCCTCCTAAAGGACAATAAAATCATGGACGCCGGAAATCCCTGTCCCAGGCAAGCGAGCGAGGAAGAAGCCGGGATGCTTTTTGGGCTGACCCAAGATGGTAAGGTCGCTGGGACCCAGCTTTGGTCAGTCAACTGCGCTCAAAGAATGGGTCACGAGTTGACTTTGAATGATGACGACCATGAATGGGTCGGTAAACTTATAGTTGATGATTGAGTTAACTTATAGTTGATGGTTTGCTCTAGTTTTTCACTTTGAATGATTGATGAATGGTTGGTCTCTGATTTAGGGCATTGTCCCAATGGAAAATCCCGACTGGGGAATCGTTCTTAGGAATCTGTTTTGGGTGGATGAGTCCTTAAGCATATCCAAGTAAACTGTAATACATGATCTAGCTGTTAAGGAGTCATACTTGTCGTATTCATATATGAGTTAACACCACTTGTTTACTGGGATGCACATCCAAGTAAGCCATGTGATTGCGCTATGTAGGGCAATATATAAATAGATAGATACCCACAAAAGTACTGCAGACATAAGTACACAAGAACATACATAAGTATTTCTATATACATTACATAACATACCAGAACGATACCATGACATAACACAACATAACATACGATAACACAACATTTGCCCAATACATATATATATTATATTTACATATATGAGACTATATATACACATTAATGTCACATTAATGTACACATTATACTATGTATGCCCTGCCGCAAGTCTCTTTGAAATGGTACCTCAAAATCCCACCGTTTGTGTATTCCCCCAGGTTCATACAGGATGGGGCCTTTGGAAACGAGCGGTTTGGCGTTCAGTTGCCGAACAAAAAAGTGGCTGAAATCTATGGTTTATGGTAAATATAACGAACTAGTTAACTAGTTCATGGGGGTTATAAGTTATGGTTTATAAACCAACTTAGATCTGGGGGCCATCCTGTAATTTGCAACTGAACGGAACTAATTGATTGATGGTGATAAACTCCGTTTAACGTATGTATATATTTGAGTAATTTATAACGACCTCACCACTGCGACCTCACTGCAAATCATGGTTAATACGGGAAGTCATCCCCAAATGGCCTTAATTCAGGTTAGTGACATATTATAATTTACCCAGATATATATATACATATATATTTATATATATATTTTTTACACACACACATACATACGCATATGGGTTCCCACGGTATTCATTCTATAAACTATTTTATATAAGCCTTCATGTGCTTTCGATACTCCATACATGGTTTCTATCATTTCCTGCTCATATACACACATGTTTCTCATTGCTTCTCTAGCTCTAATACATGCACACACATTTTCTCAGGCTGTCCCATCCCAAAAAACAGTTTTTCCTCATATTTATTTCCCGATGATTTCCTCCATGGTTTAAAAAAACGTGTTTCTTCTTGGTAAATCGCTCTGTTTCCGGATTTTTCTGTGGTAAACCCACATGGTTCCACCTAGTTTTACGGTAAATCTCAGATTTCACCATGTTTTCAGCAGATTGTCCTTAGATTCTCCTCATTTTCTTACAGGTGCTTAGCAGGGAATTTTCGGGAATGATCCATAATCACTAGTAATAATCACCCCAGCAACCCCCAGCAACCCATCCACTCCCTACGTAAAACGCACCAGTAAGTTTTGCCCAGCCTTTCCCTTGACTTTTCCGATTTAAGGGTTTGTCTGAAAATAGTGTACCCCTACACCCAATGGTTAATGATCATTATTCCTACACCCAATGGCTATAATTGGGGGTATACCCTCTGGTAAACTAACATAACTATGGAAAATCACAATGTTTCATGGGAAAATCCACTATTTCTATGGCCATTTTCAATAGCTTTTTGTATGTTTACCAGAGTACTAAGCCCCCTAAGCTATAATTGGGTGTACCACTATAAAATCCCATTAAATCACTATAAATCCCATTAAATCACTATAAATCACTATAAATGGTATACCCCATTTTCCGACTTTTCCCATTTCAGGTGTTCTTCCACGCGGAGCAGAACGACACCGCCTTCATCCAACTCCGGGGCGAGCCCTGCGGCGGCGTCTGGGGCGTGCCCATCGATGTGGACGCCTCCAGCCGAGCCATTTGGGTGGTGTGCTCCAAAGAGACCCTTGGCGATGCGAAGATTGGGATTTGGGTATGGGTCAATACCTATAGAAACATTTTTAGTGGGATGAACATCCATTTACCAGCTATTTTGGGGTTCACTAGGTACCAGGGTTTTGACCCATCCCCATTTAACGGGAGAATAGTGGTTTTCACTATGTTTTTTAGGATTAAGACATATCCCCAAAAATGAAGGGATATGGCGCGATACATCATGAAAATAGTGGTTAATAGTGGTTGATAGTGGTGAATAAGTTAATTCCCCATGAATACATTGGAATACACATGAAATCACATGACCCGAGTATTGGGGATTAAGTGGCCCATGAATCGTATCACCCAACTGACAGTTTGCTATGGAAAATCGTCTATTTATAGATGATCGACCTAGTAAAATGGTGATTTTCCAGTTCGCAAACTGTTAGTTTACTGGAGGCTAAGTGTTGGGTTTGGTTCAGTGTTGGGTTTTTATTACCACATCAGTACACATTGAAAATTCTAGGATAACTAGTTGCAAACAACGAAGCGTTCGTACGGGTTTTTTATTCTCGTTCTACCAATTTTTAGGCGTCAAAATTACTGGATAGGGGTTGCAGCTTGCCTTTCTTGCAACCAGCCGGTTTGATTACCTGAATTTGCTAAATCGATTGTTCTTTATTTCCTCATTGTTGAACCGTGAGTCTCTGGGGAACATTAACGAATTTATCATGGTTCATCTCAATGCGGCCCAAAAACCAAGAGTTGGAAGGTTCAGAGTGTCTGAGACAAACCTTTCATAGAAATGGATTACGGGCCAGAAGAATACAGGAACCCCAAGCAAATCGGATGGCGAATTCCCAATGAATCTTTGTGGAGATTCCAGTGGACCCTGATCCAGACAGTGCCTTTGAGTTCAATGTTCAGGTATATGACCGAACATGGTCTACAGTTGGAGCATTTCCTCTTTGCCAAATGGGGCTGGTCGGACCCCTAGACCTATTTCCTCGCGCCGTTCTCCGGCGCGGCACTGGTGCATCTCACGAATTGAGGGTAGATGTAGATAGATGATAGCAAACATACAATGTGGGCCCACCCAGATAGCTAAGTTGGTTTAGATTCACCCCATGAATACTATAGTTCCTATAGTTGTAAGTATGATAAACCCAAGTTATTGGAGTTATGTGAACCCCAACTGAACGCTGTCGATTTCACGGGGGGCCCACATGGGCCCGCTGTGGTAGGTACCTTGCAGTAGTCAAACATGGCAACGGAAAATCCACGATTTATTCTTCTTAGTGGTTTGGAACCATGGAATTTTATGACTTTCCATATATTTTGAACGTCATCATCCCAACTGACGAACTCCATCATTTTTCAGAGGGGTAGGTTAAAACCACCAACCAGTATTTCAATGATGTTCTCTTCAAAACCTTCATTTATTGCCTTGCCATGTTTGATTCTCGGAAGGTAGAAATCCAATTCATCAGTGGGCTACAACCAGATGCTGAACCACTTTCCGATTTCAAGTATGACATGTGTTAGCTGCTCAAGTACCGTGGAATACAGATTCAAAAATTCACATAATTCACCCTCCGATGTTCATGCCCCTGCCCTTCAGTAATTTGACGCAGATAATGGAAAATCCACCATTGGCAAACCATTTTCCACCGGAAACCATGTCAAGCGTGGGTTTTCTATACGTTTGTTAAATGATCAGAAGGTTTTCTATGACGCAAAATAGGCACGAGATCCAAACGCTATAGAATGCTATGAAAAGATGTCGCACATTCCCACTGATTAGTTGCTGGACAGGACGCAGGCCCGGCATGTTTTACAATAAATCTGGGTAATGTGGGTAGTATCAAGATGTATCAACGGTATACCAGACCGACTCAAACCTGCTTTTCCCAGAATCAAGATTCCCATTGGGAAAAACCTTCACTGCTAAATGCTACGGGTACGAAATGATACAGATTATTAATGTACATTGATGTATTTATACATGCAGTACTACCCAGATTAACGCGAAATCCTTAAAAGGCAGATGTGCCACGTCGAAAGCTGGATTGTAAACTCATCTTTGAGTGGCCCAGGCCGCCGGGTGGAAACGACCATTCGAAGTTGATTTTGACGGCGCCATTGGACTCCAGTCCGCCGGGAAATCAGATCAAGAAGCCGTGGCGCGCAACGACATCACAGCGGGAATATCTTCATCGCTTCTGGGCTGAACGGAAGCTACACGCCTCTATGGTGGTGTTGTTGATGCTTCAAAGACAAGACCCGTTGCTGCCAACACCAGCACGAGCGCTGCGAAGGAGGTGAGGGTTCGCCAGATCAGCAATGTACCCACCACTTTCTCGGCACACCTGATCAAGCGTTATATCCTTCATTCTGTGTGCGTAGCAACATCATACCTCCAATTTCATACAAGGTGGCCCCCCACCCCAGTGATGTCAATTGGTCTATAAACCCCATGAATATTAGTTCGTTATCTCCCCCATAAACCCAAAGGTTTGCCAAGTGCACTTTGCGTCAACTAAGACATCTGTGGTGAACCTAAACCCTATCGCGATGCGTGGAGCTTTCCAATCCATGGGACCTCAAAAACATTCAAAAACCATCCCAGTCATGGGACTATGAGTTAGTATTGAAACAACTCATGGTTAAAATGGGGATCAATTACACCATTTTAGACCTATTTCTGGGTCAACCTGACTTAGATACTCGATTGCTTTAATCTTGTGCTATCAATTGCAATTTATGTACATTCACCAGCTAAACATTCGTTTTTTCCAGGTATCTAACATTTATCATGATTTCAGTATTGAAACAACCACTGTTTTTTTGGGGTTGAATCGGGTTGAACTCGTCTGGTGATCAGGTCGACCTCCAATAACCACGTTTGGTGGCACATGATGAGGCGAGATTGCTCCTGGTTGCTGGTTGATCTGGTGGCTGGTGGATTGTACTTATCCTCCGGTAAACATACAAAAAACTATGGAAAGATCCACCATTGTTCATGGGAAAACTCACTATTTCTATGGCCATTTTCAATAGCTATGTAACAAATTACCAGAGGGTAGCAATGCCACCTCTTGATTTATGATGATGATACGCTGGGAATCTAGAACCTGGTTTCAAAGATATTTATGTTTCTTGTTGTTGCTTTATAGGTTTTAATATGTTGAATCCAGTATTAACCAACGTTAACAAGTATTAACCGATGCCAATATTAACCAGTGTTAACCAATCTGTTTCTGGTTGTTGTTTTATACGTTTTAACGTTTTAAATATGTTTGATCCCTTCAAAATTGGGATGATGGAAACCCACATGACCCACCCTCCCGTCGGATCCAAAGAGGACATCGAAGGCATGGTGATCCTCGTTATAAGTATTTACAAGCCCCATGAATACTGGTTATACATAAATATTGTATCAGTAGTACCCATAGGATCCATGTATCCTATATATGGTAACATGGATCCCATAAATATACCCCAAATGTTAGCATATATACCAGCACCATGGATCCTATGGGATATGATATATTGTGTATATATTCCCCATAAACCCAACAGTGAATAATCGCCGACCAACGTGAACTTTAAGCGAAAAAACCTTAGCGCGACTGTTGCGGGGAGAATTCCGTGCAAGGGCAGGGAGGGAACTTTTTTTTTCAATTTTAGCGTGTGGGCAAAGCGTTATTCTTAGCAACTTTTGAAGAATCTCATCTTGAATCTACAGTTGAAGTTCTCTGGGAAAACCCACTGGGCCAGAGCAGTTTAGATTGCTTGGCGGTCAATTAAGGTTGGTCCTACAGGAGAAGGAGGTGTTGACGGAGACAAGCCTTGGAGCCATTCGCATTTTTTTCAAAGGAGATCGCTTGAAACATGGAAGCCGGACCCGTCAGAAGATGTCGTGGCGGAGTCATTCGCAAGCCCGGGCAGCAAATGTAGATCCATGGGATGATCCTCAAGGTGCTGCATTATTAACCATCATTAATAACCATCATTAACCATCACATAATAATAATCACTAACCAACACATATCACTTTCAATAATCCATCATTAATAATCCATCATTTTCAATCACCAAAAAAAACCATTCAATAATTCATCATTAACCACCACACATACCACTTTCACTATCCGTCAATGGTTAGTAGCCATTATCATGGTTAAATATTCCGTGGTTAGTCCTTATTAACCATTAACAACTATTATCAACCAGTATCAACCATATTTGATTATTATGTTCAGCACTATTAGCCATGATTAACTCATACAAATAATGGCTAATAATAATGGTTGATAATAACAATAATAGTTAATAATAATGGTCCATGGTTGATAAGAATAAACCGTGGATCATAACAATGGTTGATATGAACCGTGGTGATTAACCAATACTAACCATGCTTAACCAATGGTTAAGCACCAATTTCCCTCATTTCTCAACGCAGCCTTGGCTCGCGCTGGACTAGGGGTGGAGACGTGATGCAGCTGGATGCGGATGACGATGCCATGTTGCTTGGATATCCTTGGATGGGCGCATGCAAAAAGGAGAGTTATGGGGCCCGCACAAAATCACCAAGCTGCTAGGTATTATCAATCTACTGTAGAGGAACCATGCCCAACAATAGAGGTTTTATATGGTTTAATACAGTTAAATCAACCCCCAATGACGGTTGATGAATGGGTTGTTCGTAATATGGGGATTAATGGTGAATAATATGGTGGAAAAATCCCCATTGTATATTTTCTTAACATTAATAATAATATGGTTTCCCCACGACTCTATTCTTATTACCCTCTGGTAAACTAACATAGCTATTGAAAATGGCAATGTTTAATGGGAAAATCCACTATAAATGGTCATTTTCAATAGCTATGTTAAATTACCAGAGGGTAACATTCTTAATATGGTGAAAAAATGATCATCTGGAGGTTTCCATTGTCATGGGTGATCCCCAGGCTCGCTGGATGGTTGATTTGATGACTGGGGATACCCCCATGGATTGGAAACCTCCAAATGAATAGCCATGTAACGGTTACGTTCATCAATTTTTTCATGTTCACTGGAATCATGGTTAGTAAAGGGAATCATCCCCAACTGGCCTTATTTCATATACCATCTGGTTATTTAACATAGCCATGGAAAGATCCACCCATTTTATAGCTAGGTAAACCATCTATTTCTATGGGCCATTTTCCACGGCTATGTTAAATAACCAGATGGTAATGCTGGTTTACCCAATATTAAGCCATAAATGTTATAACCCATATATAACCCGTAGAATCCCATATATCGTTGGAGATATTCCATATATATATATAACTGATGGTATCGGCCATTTACTAAATAGCTTAAAATAGCTTACATGTTTTATCATGGTTTATCTTGTGGTAAAGCACTTTAGTATTTTTTGCAATATCCATGGGGGAAAAAACAATCTATCATATAACCATTATTATCCATTATTCACCCTTATTATCCACCCAAAGAAACTATAGAATCAGGGAAAATTGATGGGTTCTTAAAATGTGGATCCCCAAGTCACTATGGTTGTTTCAATACTCAATCATGGTCATCCATGATTTGGATGTTTTGGGGCACACTCCTTTTTTCGGAAACCTATATGTGGGTGAATACCAACATGATTAGGGGATTGATCTTTGATTATGATAGGTAAGTTGGTTGTCATGGAATTTATGTTAAGGGGATTGATCTATTAGCATTGATTCTATGATAGGGGGTTGAGAATAGAATTATGAACCAACTTTATGATAGATCTACGATATGGGATTGATCTTTGATAATAGAATTTCTATGGCCTGGAGTTATGCCGGATATATCATACTAGCTGGGGGAAAAAATTCAGCGACGTTGACGTTTAACTGGGGCTTGCCGCCCATCCTGCAGGTGAAGCTTGGTGAAGGGTGGTTCATATTTTTCAATGTCCATACTTACTGACTAACTACTAGCAAAGAAAACTATGAAAAACATAACCTTGAAAAAACATGAACCACCCTTCACCAGTAGTTTTCAACAATTGTTAGTGTTTTTTGGAGGGCATCTATAGTAGTATTGGGGATACTTGCAAAGAAAAAAACATATGGATATATATATACATATAATTACATATATATATATATACATACATGTCAACCATGGGTTGATTTTTTGATGTTTGGAAAGGAAATACCCATGGTTGATTAGTGATGTCAACCCTGGATTGATAAACCCCGTTTACGGTACATTAATAAATATGCCATTATTTTTGGATATATATATATATAATTCACCATAAATGTATGTCTTATTAACAAAAATTACCCCATTTTTGATGGAAAGGAAATACCAATGGTTGACTAATATAGTTCAATATCTTTGATCCGCAGGATCCCCAGGGAGTGTCCAGGGCCATGACGCATGACGACTGGATGATGACGATGACTTGGGTACCCCCATCGGTACCAAAACAAAAAAAAAACCTTCAGGCTATGTGTCAAAATAGGATGCTGCTGGTGCAGTTCGCACCAAACTACTAGGTCAATCTTACATGGATACAAACTAATCCTAACTAGTCTTTTGGTATTAATGGGAATATCTACTAACCAGCAAAGAATTTAATTTTTTGCAGGGTATCTAAGATTGGCAATGACTATAGCTGGAATAGCTGGAATAGCTGGAATAGCTGGTGCAGTTCATCTTTTCAAAGTCTTGGATTTATGGTGACTTGATGTATTTTTCACCATCCCCTAATGATCGTCCAGCTTGGGAATATCCACCTATAGATGGACATGGCAAGTGGACTTTCAGCATTTCTCTAACAGATCACCGAAAGAATCGGATTTCTTTGCTCCGGCGACAATTTTTTTCAAGGAAGATTCGCGCATTTTTCAATGGGAACATCATGGAAGATCGCTTTCCAAGTGTTGTTTGCTGTTTGTTTCAGGTAAAGTATCACTACTCTAGTAGACTTTAGTAGGATTTTGAATTATGGCAATGACATTTTCAGGAGCCTGAAAAGTGACCGGCTGCTTGTAGCCCCAGTTATTAAACCCGGATTTGTTTCAGGTTTATTCCAAACAAAAATCGATAAGAATATGTATGCCCAAAAAAAAATATAGAAGTAAAAATAGTTATAACCTACGGTTCCATCATGTTCCATCTTTTTGAGGATTACCTCAGGATGGTGCCCGAGTCTACGTGATGTGAATGTTGGTGAACAGATTCACCCCATACGAGTTCGATGTATCTATAAACCAACAGGTTCATTCAGCCACTTGTCCATGTCTCAACTGAACGCCAAAACGCTCATTGACGTGGGCCCCATCGATTTGTTGGGTATCTCTTGGGTTTGTTGGCTCGTACATCGATTTCCCCCTTTCTTGCAACGAAATAGACCCGGCCAAGGTGGGGCTTAGATGGTCATGGCTCCATTCTATGGAGACCTGCTGGTGATGTTGGAAAGCACAGCAGGCGCGTTGTGGCTGCGTGGCGGGTCATGGCGTTGCTGATGGTGGGATGTCGGTAAATGAGATACTAAACATGAAGGATTGTGTTTTTTGGGGGCTTCAGTCACATGAATAACATTTAAATAGTTGATAACAATTAGTTTATTGTTCCTATATGAAAGATTTACAACTGATGATTTTGAAATATTCGGAGACTGCTCGTGATCCTGATTCAGGACTGAAACTGAAATATGCTAGATCTATTGGCTCCGTTTTTTTTGGTCATTGCTGGAATGTCTTGGTGCTGTTGGAAAGTTTCTCTTTGTTGTTGGTTGGCATCAACTCCAGCCAAATCCTGGGCAGCCCCGGCAACGACGCTGGAAACGGCAGCGTCAAAATCCGAAAATCCTCAGCAGCAGCGGTCCCAAGCATGAAGATAAGTTGAACTTGATCATATTAACCATTATTAGGGTTTACTAATATTAAATGATGGATTATTAAATCCCTTATGAAGATAAGTTGAACTTGATCCTACATGTCAATCCATGTCATGTATTTGAAGCATCCGATGGCCCCTGAATCCTCTTGATGGGCTGGGGCAGAAGGTGGGCTGTGCGCGTGTATATATATATATATATACATATACATAAATACGTACATTGTTACATATCAATGTCAATATGATCATATGTATAATAAGATACATATATTTTATGATTAATATTGAAAAAGAACATTCCCTAAACTGCAATCCACGTGTTTGGACTGGCATATTCACCTTCCACTTTTAGCAGGTGGATGCGAATCGATGGTCCTCCCAACGTCGCCTTGAAGCTGTTCCCTGGCTTAGGAAAGTATGTCACAATGGTTCAACATTGCTGATAATAGTTGATAATGATGGTAAATTATTGGTTAACGATGATTTTAACGGGCTGATTCTGATATGTGGGATTTTTTTTTGGAGATATTTCATGGTTAGTATTAGTACTGATTCAGAAAAAGGTAACGGATGGTTAACTTGGAGAATCCCCCATGACTCGACTCGTTTTTCTGGTGAATCCGGAATGGTCCTGTAATTAAATAGCAGCAACACCAACACTGGCTGGGGATATGTCTGGGTAAATTTCATCACGACCTCACTGCGACCGAGCCCTGGAAATCATAGTTAATTTGAGGGAAATCATCCCCAAATGGCCGAACTATTCAGGTTAGTGAAATATTTTTTAATTTACCCAGATATGTGATTTACTAGTATGATGAATATTAGCGTTGGTTTTACTAGATGGTTTATGGTAGATATATGGAACTAGTTGATACATGGATGAAAAAAAAACTAACTCTAAGTGCTGGTCAAACAACTGGATGGATATCGCTTGATGGGGATATATTGACCCAAGCAGGTAGACTTGTTTGCCGTGACTGGTGTGTGACAAATATGTAACGATTCGAGATGTTGGTATGCACATGTCACTATGAGTCAAAACCGTGGGACCCGATGGACCCTAAAATAACTAGTTGATGGATGATTTGTTCCCCAAAATATGGTACCCTCTGGTGAACTAACATAGCAATGGAAAATCACCATTTTTAATGGGAAAATCAACTATAAATGGCCATTTTCAATTGCTATGTTAGTTCACCAGAGGGTAATTACATAGGTGTTGACCCATCCCTATGTCTGTAAATAACAATCTGGTTGGAGGTTTGCCACAAGCCCCGAGGGGGGCAGCAGTTATTTTGTTGGTTGACTAAACCATTCCAGTCACCAGCCATCAGAGGGTCATTTCACATCTGATGGCATTGGAGTGTGCCCCAATTTCAACCTCTGTATTGGGCATGGTTTTGGTTTAACATACTTTAATTCTCCAATAGTTATCCCATTATTCTCCAATACTATCCCATGATTTCCCATAAATCCCCACTTATCAATCCATAGAAATTGTGCTGGTTAGTAAGTCCCCTTAGGCGGCGTGGTGTGGTTTATCCCATTAAACTAATATTGGTTCCGTTCACCAGGGTGCCGTGGGATGATCCTCGAAGTACTCAACCAGAAAGTCCAATTTGGGATGGTAAATTCCGTGGGATTTGTTACCATCCCAAAGTGGGAGATCTTATGGGAAATTCACCAGAAATTCCCTGGGAAATCTTGGGGTCAATTTTTTACCATCTTGATTCACCAATTACAATGAAAAATTGGATATGATCCATAGATCCAGACATCAGAAATCCATTTACTTCACCATCTTGATCATACGGTGGAGGAAATCCTGCACCACCGATTTGGGATGGTTGAAACATGTTGAAACCCAACAAAATCATGGGATGTTTACCACCGTTTTCAACTGGTGATTCGGATTTCCTCCATCCACAGTATCTTTGGATTCTCCCCTTCCTCACTAAACCGGATTTGTGAGATGAACTGAGCTGAAAATCCAACCTTCCCTGGGACCCTGAGATTGGCAATAACCTCTACCAAGTTACCCTCTGGTGCCATTTAGTTCGTGGATTTACATGATTTACCCAGCTGTAAAATGGTGGATCTTTCCATCGTTTTTTGTATGTTTACCAGAGGGTATAGTTGATTTACCTATCAAAAATGGAACATGGTGATTTTCCATAGCTATGTATGTTTACCAGAGGGTATCGCGGTATAAAAGTCACATCGGATGTTTTTTATCCAAAATCCTCAGCCAGGTCAACAGCCAAAGGATTTGGTCAAAAGTTGGCACATACGAATGGTACTCCGAGATGAAAACACGCATGTGAATATTATGAATACAACAGGAAATACAACTATATTAATGGAAATCCGAAATCTTTGGTTATTCCAATGAGCCATCAAGTTGTCCTATGCTTAACATATTTAAAAAGAAACATGTATAGAAACATCCGTGAATCCACAGAGTTGGGAAACTCCATGAAAATCCCTGGTTTCTCATTTGTTCAAACGCATCCAACAATCCCATGCTGTCACTTGTATACCATTACGTCCCCATGATATTCCCCTTATATTTCCATCACATCCCTGATGTTTGATGGTTGAACCACCATTTTTGAGAGTTAAATCTGCTAAATCCCTTTTTTTGATGGTTAACCCACCATTCTTCATAAACCACAAATAACCATGATTAGCCATGCTCTTAACCAGCATTAACCAGTATTAAGCATGGTTAAACCACAAATTAGTGCTGATTCATCTCTTCTCCGGTGGTTTCCAAACCAGGATCGCGGCAGACAACGACGAGCGCGGCACTTGGCTCTGGTGCATTAGCGACGATGACCGAAGCTGGGACCTGCAAGCTATGGCTGTGTCAAACAGATGTTGGGTTTATATGGGGGTCACAATTTCATACTACAGCTTCTGACCCATAAACCCAACATCAAACCATGAAGTTGATGTTCATGGTTTCTTCTGATGTTGATGTTCATGAACATGCGTTTGAAAGCTGGCATGCAAGTGACACATCAAAAAAACAACGATGGCTGTTTACCACGAAGGGCATGACGGCTCATCAAAAACAGAAGCTTTGGCATCAGTGCGTTTTTGCATGTGTGCGCTATGGCCTGGTTGCAGTTGGTTTCACAAAACAGACGTTCCTGCTCTTTCATAGGTTTTGTATGAAACAACTTTGACGTATTTATGGAGAGCCCACATATATTGACTTCAACGCCATCGGCTCTGTGACCCATTGCAGCGAGAGAAGTTTGTGCGCAGACGGCACTACGCTCAGCTACCAGATTGACACTTCTGCCTGAGAATGACATCCTGCATTTTGATCCTTGCGTGTTTTGTTTTGGCTTTGATATTAGTTTTGTTTTAAACAATAGGTTTTTAGATGGCTTTTTCTATGGTGATTCATCAAGAATTGGGAGACTTGGGGGGGGTACAGTTCCAGTGAAATAAATGGTTAATACATAACCGTTAGGTTGTAGGGGATATATCTATGGAGAATCCTAAATGGTTATGCATTCATCCCATGGTTGTATATGGTTTATCTAACCATGTTTTTTCTCCATTTATAGAGATATCCTAGCTTTTGGAGAAAAAACATAATCCATGAAAGGGGGATCGTCAATTGCCAGGTTTGATTGCCGGAGGGTATCATTCAGTGAGATTGTTGCCAAACGATTAGATCTGAGATCATGATAGATTATAGATACTATCATAATTTGATATGATTACATATATATATATTGAATGTAGTGCCTGCGAAAACCGAACAAATGTGAACTAGCCAAGAAAATGATGGATTTGAATGATATTTACCCTCTGGTAAAGGGATTGGTAAATGTCCTAATTGAACATCACCCAACTAGTGGGGATACTGTACAATCTCCAGCAGATACTTGAGAAGGTGATGTCTAAAATCCCAAGCAATGGACATTTACATGGATGTTATATCTATAGTACCCTCTGGTTATTTAGCATGGCTATTGAAAATGGCCATTTATAGTGAGTTTTCCCATTAAGAATGATGGTTTTCCATGGTTTTCCATAGTTATGTTAGTTTACCAGAGGGTAAATGAAATTTAATGGTATATAACCAACCATAAATGGTGATTTATTGGGGATACAATGGGGATAGATGGAGGTACCCACCCAGGGTATACGTTCCTTCGTCATAAAATGTGGCTGGGATATCCTCTGTAACTGGAGGGTTTACCCTCCGGTAAACGTTTACATAACCATGGAACATCACAATTTTTAATGGGAAAATCCAGATGGCCATTTTCAATAGCTATGTTAGTTTACCAGAGGTTAATGGAAAAACATCCAACTAAGTGGGTGATGAATTCCATTGCCAGAAGGGTTTTTGGGGGATGTGAACCACCCAAACCTGGCTTTGCTTAAGGTGATGTGAAGCATGGACTCTCATGGGGAAATCCACCAATTGAGGAAGTCGATGGAGAATTTGTGCTGTAAATCTCCTGTGCCAGCCCAGCAAGAACTGGCCGCCCAGAGGAGGCCACAAGCGACCCCGCTGTTCGTTAAGCCCATCCAAGTATAGATACCCTCTGGTAATTTAACATAGCTATGGAAAATGACTCAGCTATAATTGATGTACCTATCAAAAGTGGTGATTTTCAAAGGTTTTGTTAGTTTACCAGCAGGTATACCATGATATATAGAGGCATAAACCCAGTTTGCCGAATTCATGCTCTTTCATGCCCTTTTTTGGCTGCTATACCCCATGTTCCAGCATGGAAAGTCCGCCATTTTCCCAGTGGACCCCCCTTGCTTTTGGTTTTCTTGCGCAAGGAATTTGGCGCCGGGACCCTGGGAATTATCACGAGAAGGATCAGCATGACAAATGGAGCGACAGGGACACTTGGTGGCTTCAACCTTCCGGGTGGGGCCGCCAGAAACGAGCGAGCGAGCGATAGCGTTCAGTTGTACGGATAAGTGGCTGAATGAACTATGGTAAAAATGGCAGATACAACTATAGATAACTATAGATAGCTATAGATAACTATAGATAACTATAGATAACTATAGATAACTATAGATAACTATAGTTAATGGGGTTTATGGTGGATACAACTTAAATAGAGCTTATAAACCAACCTGTGACTGGGGGGCATCATCCTGTTGGTGAGATACGAAGTAGTACTTTTATCTCTTGCTATCAATTGTTAAATGTAGACACTGACCGGCTGAAAATTAGAGTTTTTGACAGGTATCTACTGAATGGGGCCCCCCAGTCACAAGTTGGTTTATAAACCATAACAAAACCCCCATTAACTATGATTATATCTACTATAAACCATAGAATTCAGCCACTTTTTTGAGGCAACTGAACGCTATCGACTGGGGGCCCCATCCTGTCTAAAGATTTCCCATGTTTTCAGATTCGGACTCAAAAGGATGCTGGGACGGTGCCCCTGTCGTGATGTGAACCAGCTGGGACTTCTTGACCAATTTTACTACAGATATATAACCCTAGTGAAGGCAGCTATAAGCCAACTTACATGCTGCACATTGTTTGAACATGTTTGAACTTTGAATCAACAAGAATCAGGTTTTCAGCAAGAAGTGCTCTGTTAAAAGCCGAGAAGATTTTGGTTAGAAGCTTCCTCAGTGGCCAAGAAATCATGAAAATCATATTAAATCCATGTAAATCCAAGAAGATAAAGCGCCTTTTCGCCTTTTTTTACGCGCATTGAGGATGAGAATGGTCACTTGTACTGGACGAAACCCGATGGTTCGGTCTTGAAAGACTTGAAAGCCAACATGGGTACCTCGGACTGGTGATCTTGGATGGGACATAGCTTCGGTAAAAAAAATGGCAGGAAATCATGGCTTCAGATTTCCCCGCAGGAACTACATAAACTGGAAAGTTGGGGTCGTATCTGGTGAATCATCAAAACCTCTAATTTTCTGGGGAATTGAAGCAAGCAAAGCTGGGAGGTTGTATACCTTGAGCCTCTAATCCCATCCCTGAAGCGTTACTTCATCGTCATGGCGTATCAGGATGTCAGGCGGCTCATGGCGGATGATTTTTAGGGACTACACACCGATGTGCGCAAAGTTCTGGGCCGTGTGCACCACCTTTTTTTTCAAGACCAATGGATCACCAAATGTACCCTCTGGTAAACGTTTACATAACTATGGAAAATCACCATGCTATTAATGGGTAAATCCACTATAAATCACCATGTTCAATAGCTATGTTAGTCATTACCAGGCCGGGTAATGATGTTGCTGATCATCGCGCCAAAACAGCCATGGCATCTGGAGAGATTTGGTGAATCGTGAAACAATGGTGGTCATTAAGAAATTTAGGTCATCATTTTAATAGTGATAGTTAATGATGGTTAATGATAGTTAATGGTGATTTTTTCATGATTGTGAATCATGGTAGAATCATGAACAAATCATATCTATACCAATAGGATCATCATCATTAACTATCATTAACCATCATTAAGCAGTCCTCACGATGGAACAAATGAGGAATCTCCACTTGATGGTGCAGTTGCAATTATAAATGGATAGGGTAAAACCTGCCTCAGCGACATATCTCCAGCCTCGACGATCCATGCTGTTTAATTTGTTTATGCCGTGAGCACACATTGAGCATCCACAGACAAGGATCCTGTAGATTCCAGGTAATAGACAAGTTGCACATAGATTATGTATACTTTCTCTCCTGTTTATATGTTTGATCTTTAGATGATTCTCCTGTGGACTGTCCAGGTTGGTATTCTGCATATTTCAGGCTGATCAAGGATTGGTACAGATGTATGTGTAACTGGTTGTACTTTGACATATGTTTGGATGTTTTTGTTTAATCTCGAAAGATGATATGATGATATCATGATCATCAAATGGCCGCTATTTTTCGGAATTCAACCACCAGGTTTGCTGTTGGTATTGTGTTCACAAATCGTGGCAAACCATCACGGGAGGAAGCTAAGACTATATATATATATTACTGTGGTCAGGAGGGAGCCGGAAGCAACAAAAACCCTAGATTTCATGGGTCACAGAGGCTACGAATTGAGTAAAAACCTCAGGTTTTGCCTTGGCCATTGATGATCGTGGCAACTTGGACGCAGTTTCAGGCAGTGTGGTTTGATTGCAACCAGCAAGATATGGGGGGTTTACCATGGGTTTTTGCCATGTCTTACCATGTTTTACCCATCTGGATAAACCAACAGCATGTTATTTTTTCCAGCAAAAAATTTGGTATCACCCAACAAAGGTTCGGATTTAGACATGAAAACATGGCAACTAGATAGAGAAAACATGGGTAAACCGCCGGGTTGAGTGGGTTATTTGGTTTGTCATATATCATGTTATACTGGTTGGTGGTTTGGAACATGAATTTTATTTTCCATAATACATGGGCATAATCATCCCAACTGACTAATATTTTTCAGAGGGATTGAAACCAACAACCAGTATATTATAGTACTAAAAAGAATGATTATGATGATTATTACAATCATTTACTATCCATGTCATATCAGTCATATCATTCATGGATAGTAAATGACTGATATAACAATCATTAACCATTAACTATCCAGTCATATCATTCATATCATTCATTAACCATATCATGGACCATGTTTGACTGATGTTTAATTCATGGTCCATGATCCCAATTGAAAAGTCACATCGAAAACCTCGCTGCCAATCTGGAGGTTTTCTGAAATAAGGCTACCCACAAATCCTCATGAAATAAACCATCCAGCTATGGGGTACCCCATGACTTTGAAAACCTCCATATTAACCACTATTTAACCATTGTTCACCATCAGTAACCATTTTTTCACCACTATTTTATCCCATCATTTATGGGGTTTCCCCCATCTGTTCGGCATGGCTTCAGGCAATTTGTTGCGGCGACACATCAACGGCACTTGTTGCATCGACCCAGCCTCCCCTGTCCACTGCTGGTGTGGCGTGCCTGGGCCATGGGACTGTGGGGATGGGTTCAAATTACATACCCCATAAATTGGATCTGGTTGGTGGTTTGGAACATGGGATTATTAATGGGATTATAAGGATTATTAATCACGAAAGCTAGCGTCAGCTAGCTGGAGTCTTCTTGTTTTAGCAAGTATTCCGGGGGCTGCTCAAGGACATCACGTGATTTTTCACGCGAAAGGGCCCCCCACCACCACCACCACCATCACCACCACCATCATCATCATCATCATCATCGTCATCATCATCGTCATCACCATCACCACCATCATCATCATCGTCATCATCATCGTCATCATCATAACCATCACCACCATCATCATCATCGTCATCATCATCGTCATCATCATCATCATCATCATCATCATCATTGTCATCGTCCTCGCCATCGTCCTCGTCATCGTCGTCATCGTCATCATCATCATCATCATAATCATCATCACCGTCCTTGTCCTCGTCATTGTCATCGTCCTCGTCATCGTCATCCTCATCATCATCATCACCATCATCGTTAATCAATTACATTTTATCATTATTGGCAATTATTGGCATTATCAGGAAAGCTAGCGTCAGCTCGCTAGAGTCTTCTTGCTTTAGCAAGTATTCCGGGGCTCCCAAAGGACATCACGTGCTTTTTCACGCGAAAGGGCCCCCCCCTGCCCCCTCCCCCATATATATCATTGTTATATATCATATATCATATATCATTGTTGCATCCTCGTTGGGACGAACAATGCCGCGACACGATGATGACAGTCCCTCCGCCACTCACCTCTTCCCTTCCTTCTTTCTCCTACCCCGCTAGCTTTCGTCATCCACCCCCGGCCTCAAGTGGTTAATACTGGTTAATAATGATGAATTATTAGTAGCTGGTTGGTGGTTTGGAACCATGGAATTTTATGATTTTCCCACGATATTGGGAATGTGATGTCATCCCAACTGACGTTCACTCCATCATTTTTCAGAGGTGTAGGGCTCAACCACCAACCAGCCAAAAACCACCAACCAGCCAAAAATTGAATGGTTCATACATGTTGATACTAAAAATGAACTACAATCCAGATGTTTTTAACTTTGACCGCCAAGATGGACCCCCAAAAAAATGAACATGTTTCATGGCAAAAGCCGTGGTTTCAGAAAAACCCTCTGGGAATCCCAAGGTGGAAAGGACACCCTTTCTGAGATATTTGACCGAGAAACACTCCACAAGTTTATTGGGAGATGATCAAACGATGAATTCATTGGTTATTTAACGTAGCAAACTGGAAAATCATTATGTTTCATAGGTAAATCATCATGTTTATCATCTATAAATGGGATTCATTGTGATTTATATAACCCATCATGTTTGGATTCCCACTGTGGGATGCATGAGCATACCATGTGAATCCAAGGTTTTGACCATGGCACGTCAAAGCAAATCAATCGTGACAACCTCAAAAAACTTCACCTTACATGGTCACTAAAGGAAATCATTCTCATAACAACCTATTTCAGGTTGATGCAATATGTGCATTGTTTTGTTTGACCTCGATGAGAGAGTTGAATGAATGGGTTCAATCATTGTGTATTGTATTCAAAGATGATGAAAAGCCCTGAGTTCAACTCGATCCCTAGATCTGTCACTGGTTTCCTCTGGGGAGGTCACGAATGTCTTTTTTTGTATTCTCACAACATGATCAACCGATGGATTTTCCCAACAGGGCATCGGGGATGGTGATGGGAAAGCTATAGAAGATAGTGAGTGGGCACGGAAGGATTGCTTCCTGTCAGTGCTGGAAGGCTTCCGTGCATCCCTCATACAGGACATCATGCAGGCCTTCTGCAACTCGAGTCGTGCTGGATGTCATCACCCCTAGTGACTCGGGTCTCACCCCTGAGAAGTGGAGATGTGATGCCACTATATGCCCGCCGAACTGGCCCATTGATTACAGGCTCCTCAGAGGATGGTACCTCAGTACCAACCTCCACGAGTTTGCATCTGGCATGTTTAGCCCATTGCAATCTTGAAAATTGACCAGACATGCTGCCTTTTTGTGCGCAAGAAACTCGAATCCATGTGGGTCTGGGTGTAGTGGATGTCATGGTGTAATGCTGGAAATGACCATGTGTGCTTCCAAACAGGTACATGATTTGATCCATGCCCCAGTTTTATAATGCCGTTTTCGGATTATATATGCGTTATTTAGGGCCATTGTTTGACCAATAGCATATCGACGAACTATAACGCGTACATATCCCGCTCATCATATTCCAATGTTCTTACCCCATTAAGTCGTTCCAATTGGTTGTATCCCAATGATTTATTCACCCCCATCAACAAGAACATTAAGAACAATAGGAATAAGTCATGATAATTGTGATTAACTATGGACTATGGTCAATAAGGGTTAGTAATACTATTTGGTGGCTCATCCCACTTACTAAGTAGCTACTTATAACTTACAACCTTGCTTATAAGTGGATTAGCCCTACTTTTAAAAAAAGGATATAACCTACTTAGGATTCGTGGGTACTTCGCTACAAAGTATAATAACTTTATTAACAACCCCTAAGAGGTAATGCCCTTTGTCGACCCAGGAGAAATTTGCACCAAAGCTCTCAGCCGTGACCGACAACGGCGACCATGGACTGGGATTCTACATGCTGCTGGGATTTTTATATGGAACACATGTTGGGAGTTGATGGGATTAATGGCTATTAGTCTCCCATTAGACTTCATTCACATCCCATTAATCAATTTCTTGGGAATTCATGTGACGTTAATGAAGTCTAGTGGGGTTACCATCTGGTTATTTAACATAGCCGTGGAAAATCACCATTTTATAGCTACGTAGGTAAACCATCTTTTTCTATGGGCCATCTATACCATGGCTATGTTAGTCATAACCAGAGGTTATAATGAAATCAAGTAAGGTCATAGTTAACCACCACATAGCCATTGAAAATGACCATTTATAGTGGATTTACCCATTAAAAATGGAGATTACGGGGCATGTAATGAAATCAAGTAAGCTTAGAGTTAGCAGTCGGTGGTGCCCCAGTTCAGAATCGCGGAGTTGGGGTTCTCACGACGCCAATTTCACGGGAGGGTTTATAGCAGACATATCGAACTACTTAATGGGGGTTATAAACCAACAAATGTCTTAAAAAAATAGCTGATGATGGTAAGAATGTGTTTTAATATCGGATTACATAGGTTAATTGTTATATGTCAGTTTTATAACCTAGTGGCTCGTTCTCTTTACAGTTATGGGATGTTATGAGTATAATAAGAATGATGATTCCAACTATCACGGAGAGAACGACCAAGCTGGTTGCTTACGGCTTTCAATTGGGCTTCTATCTGATGGTAAAGATATGGATGTAAATATAATCATGTTCTCATCATTTTTCCAACTTTAGTATATCGCATATTCTGAGACAACGCCATTTAAGTTGCATAATATATATATATGTATGTATTATACATTGCGAATGGGGACACGGTAATAACATCACCTATATTCCCCATGTACATAGCCACCTATCCACAGGTCAAGGGACAGCACAACCGCTGGTCCTTTGGCTCAAGACCCCGAACTGCAGGTCCACATGAAAACAGTGCAATGCCGAAGCCGCTCTCCGCTTGACCATTGGAACCTCATCATCTAGGAGCAATAACAGCAATACCACAGGGTATCCGCGATTCACAGGTTATCAGCCGTAGGGCCTCCCACGGAGCCTGCGAGCGGGTAACTGCGGACCTTACAATCAATGGCTGAAGAGGACAGTAGCGATAACGCATTCTCATGTGCTGGACATGCCGCCGCACCAGCTGCCGGCACGCAGTCAAATTCTTCACAGAGTTTCGATACTGGTGGAAGCGAAACCTCAGAACTGAGACCTAGCACATCCAGACGACCTCTGGTTGCCCCGAGAGGGAGATTAATGCCGACAATGCAAGCTATCGAAGACAGGGACAGTACACCTGGAAAGAGAAGATCGTCCGCACGTCAATCGTCGCCCCCGACGACTCCGAGGACTAAGGCGAAGCCTACATCTTCGAATCCGCCTTCACCGATTCAGGACGCCACACCATCAGGAGTAGGATCTTTTCAACAAGTGAATGCTCCATCAAGTGGTAGCGATGTCTTCACTGCCTATCAGAGTGAACTATCAGAGTACAAAGCATCACTGGACAGGGCTACTGAAGAAGAATCTGTGCTTCAGGCGAGGTTAACCGAAATGGCCGCCTATGCCAACCAACAGTTCAATTACCTGGAGAACACCACTCATCATGAAATGACAGCGATGGCTCAACAGCTTCAAGCCCTGAACTCTGAGCTGCTCGCCGCACAACAAGAAGACGAAGGAGCAACCTACAGGATTGAAGAGCTGGAGAGATATCGAACTATGTCAAACGAAGCAGCATCCCATCTGGAACTTCGATACTCACAATTGAGATCTGAATTCAGTGAACAAATGGGACAAGCGAATGCAATCATGGTACATGTAGGTGCAGATGCAAGTGCTCATATCAATCAACTCAGACTGGAACTGGAAAACGCAGAGATGAATGCAAAGCAGGAAGCCCTAGCTGTCGGATATGCCAATGACCAAACATGTGCACTTCACATTGAGATGCTCGAGATTGCGAATCAGAACCAAACGATGAAGAGCACTATGTCATTGAACATCAGGCGGCTGGAAACGGAGCTTGATTCTGCTGATGCGAAGAGGGAAGATATTATGAGAGAACTTCGTAGCGATCTGAGATCCGAACACAACAGATATTCTGAATGTGAACACCATCTAGCTCTGGAGGAATCACAACTACAGTTACAGGTCATCCGCAATGAGGGACTACAATCACAACTGGCCACATCGGAGAATCGGTATTCTGAAGAGTTGACCTCCAAGGTGAGCGGGATGCGTGATATGAGGATCATGGAACTACGATCTGAATTACACATGAAACAAAGCCTTTTGGATCGGATGCAACAACAACTGACTGAATCGAAGAATCAATATCATGAACTTTCGTGCCAACAAGCAAGACATGCATCTCCAAGTGTTTCTCCATCACATGGGATTTACTATGAGATGTATAATCAATTGCATGGTGAGTACGAGAAGGCCATCAAATACAAGGATGGCGTTGACGCTATGCTGCGAAGGACTAGAGCTGAGCTTATTGACAATGAAGCGCTGCTTAAGACCTATCAAAGCTCATATGATTCATTGGGAAAGAAGTACCAAGATGCTTTGGGAAGGATCGACTTCATGAGCAACAATCCAAACACTTCCAGTAATCTATTTGACGCTTTGCACAATGAGATCAGTGACAGAGATGAGGCAATCAAACGACTTAACACTGAAGTTGCGACACAGGAGGAATCCCTCAATCGTGCTCATCGTGATGCCGGTAAAGCTATCAGTATGTTGAATGATAGACGACTCGTCATCAAGGGAGCAACAGATTATTCTATTCCTGAGAGTCACCTGACAGAAATGCACCATCTTGTCAGTGAACGTCAAACAGAGGTGGAGGAAATGTCGAACACCATCGCTGCACTGAAGCTCGAGAACCAGGCCGCTTCTTCTTCTACACAGAACCTGCAAGCTATAATGTATGGATCATCCAACAATGCTTTTCCCAGGAATGAATGTGAGGAGAAATGTGCCAAATTAAAAGCTGAACTGGAAGAAATGAAACAAGAAAAGAAGTCAGAAGTCAATGCTCTTCGTGACGAACTGAAGAAGATGGAAGAGCGTAAGGACTACTACAAGAATAACTTTTCCCAAGCTGAAGACCGTGCTAATGACGAAGAACAAGAGTTTCGTGCCGAAGCTGAAGCTTTTGAGAAACTCAGGAACGAGTACAACACCAACGTCATTGAATTGGAGAACCTCGAGAAGGACAAATCCAAATCCTCTATCTCTCAGAGAGAAGCGGAGAAGATCAACCTACAACCTTGGCCTAAGACTACTGAACTTTCATCTTGGAAAGGAAGTGTCGTTCATGAAGTTTGTGTTGCAAGTGGAGATAGACATTATGATGATTGGAAAGCGTGGCTGGCTCCATGTCTCACAGACCAGCCGGATTTGGAAACATTAGCCAAAGCACCTGAGGTGAGATTCCAATCCATCGATGCTAAGCTCTCCAATGCTTTGAGGAAAGTCATCGACAATGCTGGAGACAAGTCTATGCAAGTGAAGTATGACATGTCCATGAAGAACCAAATGTATGGGAAGAGTGGAGACTTCATCAAGGGACGAACTATTCGCAATGATCTTGATTAGCTTCAAGTCACCCGACCATACTGAAGTTCTCTACAACGCTCATCATTTGTACATGTTCAGCTACTATGGAGATGACCAACTCGAGGCCTTCTACAACAAGTGGCTTGACATCATATACAATATGAAACATGATGATCGGCCTTCTGCGAATTCCCTACGTGACACATTGTTCCGGAAGATTGAACACTCAAAACTCATGCACTTTGATATCAGCCGGTACCGCACTTTCGATGAAGGGCATCATGAGAAGACTTATGAATTCCTGGTCGGCATGATCAAAGGATACATTGCCAGAGGGAAACAAGAAAGGCTGTTGAAAGACAGGGAACGTGCAGTTAAGATATCGATGTCTTCCAACAAAACTACACCAGCATTGGAGGATGACATGAAGACTGCTGCCCCCACCAAGACCAAGAAGGAAGACGCTGCAGCCGCTTCATTCTCCGGTGATCACCCCAAAGGGAAACCGAAGGCTAAGGCAAAAGGTGAAGCTGCTTCTGTCCTTCCTACGCCTTCTCCGAAGTCTCATGCTGACAAGAACAAGAAAGGCAAAGGCAAAGGAGGGAAGGGAAGATCATCATCACCCACCGACAAGAAGAAGATCTTTTGCAACTACTTCTTCAATAAAGGTGGATGTAATAAAGGTGATAAATGTCTCTACAGTCATTCTCAGAAAGTCTATGATGCCAAGATGAAGGATAAAAAGGGTAGAAGTCGAAGCAGAGATTCATCTGGAAGGAGGAGTAAGGGAAGTTCTTCATCTGCTGGACCGAAGAAGAAAGTATGTTGGCAGTGGCAAAAGGGTACATGTACTTTTGGAAGCAAATGCAAATTTCTACATGCAGACCAGTCACCATCAGCATCCTCTGAAAGAGCCAGCAACAAAGACAAGAAGAAGAAAGCTGTTCCCATTACCATCGATTCCTTCTTTGATAGCGACACTGAAGATGCAAAGGATTATTCCTCACCGAGGGTAGCCAGCGCAAAGAAGTCTTCTGATGTCCGCAAGTTCACATTCGACATGGAACCTGAGATCCACAAGATCCATATCAAGGACTACCCGGAGGGAATGCCCAAACGAATTTATCGTGACCCCAACAAGCCTTATGTCTTCAGAAAGATCGAAGATCTGACCGATGATCAATCCAAATCTGACAGCACACTAGGTCAAACTAGGGCAAGAGCTAAAGCTATCATCATGGAGAAAGATGGACTTCATCGATATGTGGATGAAGTGAGGATTATCATTGGCCCAAAGTTCGACATGCTGATCAAGTTGGATGGTGATAAAGAAGATCTAATTTTCTTGGAGGAGCTTGTTGAACATGAAGCTGAAAGATCCCTCGAGAAGTCCAAGAATCTTATGTGCATCTCACTACCAGTACAAGCCAAAGATCGAAGATTCATTCTCGATTCTGGTAGCGGACACGATCTGATTTCTGCACGAAAGGCTGAACGAATGAATTTGAAGAAGAGAGTTTGTGATCCCATCATGTTCCACACTGCAAACGGTTCAACTGCTACACAAACTGAAGCCGAAATTGACTTGGGAACCTTCGACGAGATCTCACAAGCCTACGTCCTTGATGACACTCCATCAGTGATGTCTCTTGGGAAACGATGCATGGAAGAGGGGTACTCCTTCATATGGCCTTCAGGCAAGATGCCATTCATGATCACAAAGAACGGGGAGCGTATTGATCTGACGATTCATGACAACATCCCCTACGTTGATCTTGGAACATATGAATGCACTCCATATGAATGTCATCAAACATCGAAGATTCATGATCTACTTGAACGTTTTCAAGAGAACCTCGACAACTTTGATGACCTAGATGAGATAGGCCGGACATCCCGAAGAGTATACCTGGATGGAGAAAGTGGGTTTGAGGTATCAGTTGATGATCAAGATGATTCCCAACACGTCAAGAAGCTTAAGGTGAAGAAGAAGAGGAAGGCAAGGAACCGACGAAGAAAAACGGCATCACCTGGAGAAGAAGTCCCATCTGATGATGAAGGATATGCACCAGGAACTCCATATGATGGTCCCCCAGGCGATGTAGAAACGGATCTGGAGGATGAAGGACATGGAGTCCCTGAAGAAGTCGCTGAAGGTGACGAAGATGACATCGAAGTCGATGTTGTTGAAGGTGAGTCCAGGGTGGCCAAGAGAGGAACACTGAAGAGGGAAGCAAACAGTCTGAACCACAAACTGACTCACAGATATAAGAATCCATACTGTGACTCCTGCATTCGCGCAAAGATGAAACATTTCAAGACTCGCAGAGGGTCATACAAAAGGGAGCTCAAGAAGTTCGGCGACCTCATCACTTTCGATGCTGTTGATACATCCAAAGTTCATGATGATGTATTAGTACTTGAGAAGGAAGTGTTAGTCGTCAGAGATTGTTTCACAGGAATCATCGGTGCTTATCCGTCCGACAGAATGGCTAAAGATGATGTAGTCAGAGCAGTGAAACAGTTCATCGGCGCCAAGAAGGTCAGACAGGCATATTCCGATCATGCTCCACAATTCATTGAAGCGATGAATGAGATGAAGATCCCAATTGATCATTCACTGCCTGGAAGACTTCAGACAAATTCTATCGCCGAAAGAACGAACCAATTTATTCTGACTGCAACATCTACATGTCTGTTAGAGGCCGGATTACCACCATGTTTCTGGAGAACGGCAATCCTTTGTGTGTGCCATCTACTCAATGTAGAACCCAATGATGATGAACTTAGTGCTTGGTGTAAACTCCATGGAACCGACTTTGCTGGAAAACTCATTCCCTATGGTGCTCGTGTGAACTACAAGCCTCCGAAGACGAGAGAAGCAGGACAACTTCATAAGTTTGGACCTGATTCTATACCAGGGGTTTTCGCAGGATATCACATTGGCCCAGGGATGCATTGGTCTCGACAATACAAAGTCTGGCCACTGAGCGAGTTTGTACATCAGAACCTTGGTGATGATGCCAGCAAACCAGAACATCGTCTTCTCAAACCTCATCTGACGGAGAAAGTAGAGATGGTCACTCCATTGACATTCCCATGTAAACAAGAATATGAAAGAGTGAACACTACCTTGGAGGGAATGAAAGAAAGAGAACTTCTTGACGGTGAACCATCCGAAAGACCTCAAGATGATGAAGAAGACGAACAAGATGAAGACGATGACCAGCTTGATGACGGAGACGATGGTGGACCTGGACCAAGTGGTGGAGAAGCCTCAAAGAAACCTATCGAAGCCTCTGAGGGTATCTTCGATGACAAGGACCCGGAAGAGATGACCTTAGAAGAACTTATAGATGCACAACCAGATCATTGGAGGTCAGGCAAGGCCGGGGACGGGAAGGTATACCTCAATGATGACGGTGAGAAGGTCAAATTGAATGTCAAGGGAAACCCTTACAAGATTGGAGAAGATGGTAGAAGACTCTTCAAAACCTCATTGAGACCTAAGGGTACCTACTCTCCAGAAGAATGGCGAAAGCTATCTCAATCTGACCGAAACGTCATCCTCAAGGCCGAGAAGAAGAAATTGGAAAAGAACGAGGCTGATGAAAAGAACAAAAGAAAGGTTGAGGAAGTGAAGAAGAAATCTCTGAAGAAGGAGAAGAAAGATTCAAAGAAGGACAAAGGTATGCCGAAGTCCAAAGATGATGACGAGAAAGACGATGATGGTGGGCAGGACGATCCGCACTCAAAGTCGAAGAAATCCGATGCAGGTGTTGGTGAGGTGATGAAGAACAAAATTACTTTACCTTCCACATGTACGAGTGCATATCTTGACATGTATGATATCGTTGATGACGATGACATTCATGGGAAACGTTACATTGATTGTCGGAAGATCAGAAGGAATGCTGATGCGAGCCCATGTTCCGATGCCTCTACTGACGTCCCGGACGACGAGGAATATCTCACTGAATGGGACGAGTGGTCGGAGGTCGAAAAGGGCCGTGGTCCGAAAGCATCATGGAGTGGTGAAGTTTGGAATACATTGTCAGGTATGATCTCGAAGTCTTCCACGGCAACGCCGGGTGAATCGACCATGATCAAGAATGGCAAGTGTATCAACGTCAAGAACATGAAGAACTCATCCACTGACGACGATGACGATCTCATAGCATTCCCTACTATGCCATGTACCTCAGCACCCAACAACATTCATCGAACCAAAGTACCTCCTGATGGTCTGGGGGAAAGCTCTTCAACGCCATGGTCTCAAGACCAGTCGGCAGAGCAGAGATTGAATCCAATCCTAAAGCAAAGGAAGCAATGCTTAAGGAATGGAAAGGACTCCGAGATCAAGAAGTGTTTGATTTCTCCATGGTCCGAGAATACGATGATGTAGTTGCGGAAGCAAAGAAGAACAAGAAGGAAATACATATGGCAAGAGTCCATGGCATATGCGTTGAAAAGAACTACCAGTTGCCCGAAAGCAATCCAGGTCGAAAGTTCAAAGGACGAGGTGTTCTACTGGGCAATCAAGTGAAGAACCAACATTGGGAGGCAGCATTCTTTCAAGATTTAGGGAATTCCCCTGCTTCCTTCGAAGCCTCACGGTGGGCCGATTTCTTTGGATGTCTTCCTGGGCATTCTGTCAAGCTCGCAGATGCGATCCAAGCCTACATCCAGGCGAAGTTGAAGGGGCCTTTATGCTGGGTGGAGTTACCTACCGACGCTTGGCCACCCGAGATTCAATACTGGAAGTATCGACGTCCTGTCGTAAGACTTGACAAAGCTCTATATGGACATCCCGATTCAGGCACGATGTGGGAACAACATTGTGATAAGAAGGTCCAAGAAATTGGTTTTAAGCCCATTGGAGAGGAATGGCCATCGATGTATTTTCATGACAAACTCAAGCTTTTATTGGTGATCTATGTGGATGACCTTAAATTAGCTGGGCCATCTGAAAATCTGGCCAAAGGTTGGGAGATGTTGCGTACGGTTTTACGCATCGAACCCGAAACTGATTTGGGTCT